TAACCATCTCACTAACATTGATTAAAATTATCATAGCTATCATGATTGAGATACAGAATAACGGTGCACATAGAAACAAGTAAACAACAAATAAAGTGCGTGATGTTCCAAAAATTTCCTTTACTCTTTGTTATCTACTATAAACAAATGGTACTTCAACAATGGTCGATGAAGAACGGCTATCAAGTTCAACTCAATACCAAGAGTATATTTTATCTGTGATGCATCATCTGACAATGTCTTCAAAGCTCCGGCAAAAGCAGGAAATCCCTTGGAGCGAGTTCGTGTAATTATCACATTACACAAGCATCAATGTGGGAAAATCATATTTTATTTATTATTATTATTTTTTTAATGATTTATTATTATTATTTATTATTTAAGATTTACATTTTACCGCTATTTTTTATATTAATAAACATTTCCTTTCGAAAAGGGCATGGTTGTTTTCAACGTTAAAAATAATGAATCAATTTTTCGAATTGTTAACATTGACAATAATGATAATAATAAGCAGCAGGAGAGAATTTTTTTCGAAGAAAGCTTCGTCAATTCTTTCAACAAGAACGGGGGTTTTTTTTCACATTGTGAAAAAAAGACGTGGTTGTTCAATATTAAAATGATAATAATTGTTGCGTTTTTTCTTCACATTTTCAAAAAAGGCATGGTCGTTTTTTTGGTATTAGAAATTCCGAAATCGTTACATTTTTCACACTTTCAAAAAAGGCATGATCGTTAATATTAATGATACAATCAAAAAAGTCAAGGATCTTTTCAAAAAAAAAGCTTGGCTGATTTTCATTAATTAATATTAATAATAACGAATTTCTTTGTCAGTATTTTAGTAGCAGAAAAAGCTTGATTGATTTTTCTAACAATGATGGATGGATTAATTCAAAATTTTTAGTGGAGAGAAAATATTTACTTCTTCACATTTTTTGGAAAAGATGGGGGTTTTTTTTATTTACATAAATTTTATATACATGATGGCGAAATATGATATTAATATGTTTATTTATTATTTGAATTCAACCAATTAAAATTTTCAAAATTAAATTCGAAATTCGAAATTAAAAATCAACTAAATTCATAACTCGAAATCCTAAAATTAAAAAAAAAATATTGCTTTTTAAATTTTGTCAAGCAATTCATATGCGCTGATTTTGTTTGATCCCCAAAATTTGGTACGGTATGATCATAACGTTATGAATAATTTATGCTACCAAAAACCCATTGGTTTTGAGGTGGGGCCATTGGTTTGACGAGCTGTTGAACAGTAAAACAGTTTTTTTAGCAAAGCAAAATAAATTTTTTTATGGTTAATTATCATTCTACTGACCAGTTTACACATTAAAAATTCTCGTGTTTAACATCGAGACACAATAAGACATAAGGTTTGAAAAAAGACCCAAAAAACCAAATCGGCTGATATGTCTAATAAAGATATATACACTACCTGGACAAAAGTATAGGGACACCTGCAGATCATCACAAATAATTGAATAAAGTGACATGACAAAA